CCCGCGCGGCGTGCGCGCGCCCCGCCCCGCCCCGCCGGGCGCAGCGGGCCCTGCCCGTGCGGCGGGTATTGTCCTCCGCAAAATGGCCGCCGGGCCGCCGCCGGCCGGGAAGGGACCTCCGCCGCCACCCCACACAAACCCCGGGCCTGGCCTCTGCCCCCTTCAGGGCCTCTGCCCCGGGTCCCCGCCGGCCGCCCCCGGGCCTGCTGCGCGCTCCTCACAGGCACCGTTCCCTCAGCTCCCCGCCTCGGCCTCCTGGAGCCTGACACGTTTTCACCCCCAGCTCATGGCCCTCGCTGTCGGGCGGATGAGGCCGGTGGAGGCTGTGGGGTTTGACAGGCATCCGCTGCGCCTCCAAAATCCCCGGCCTTCCCCCCTGAGGAAGGTGAGGCACGAGTGTGACCGAAACACGTGTGGTTTCTGCAGAGGGAACCGAGAGCCGCTGCACCTCTCGGCCGTGTCTGAAAAATGCATCGTGAATATAATTAAAACAATTGCAGTCAAGGCTTACTTAGGTTCTGCCACAAGCTGAGGGCATGATGCAGCACCTCAAAAATTACAACTTAAGAGGATCCACTACTAATGATGCGGTTCCTTCAAGTTCATTCCAACGGAGGGGAGGAGGAAATTCTCAATAACTCCAGGGATTTCACTGAATGGGATCCCACAAAACAGTTTCTGAGCCTTTTTTTCAATCAACATTACACCCGCTGCCATCATATGTCAACTGTTTCTCTGGTACACAGGTGGAAAAGAAGCACCACAAAAATGGCACTTCAGGGACGGATTTACCAGGTGGCATCGGTCCACACCGTCACAGCACCGTGTGGTGAAGATGCTACAGACCATGAAGCAGAGGTGGCCGCCCTGTGCCCTCGGCTCTGGTGTGACAAAACATCTCCTGTTACAAGACAGGATTTGGTCCAGAATAAACTAATCAAGAAGTGAAATATCAACTGAGGAGAAACTTCACTTAGGAGCCAGTACAGGCTGCTTCTCACTGAGAATTCCGATCCCCCTTCTCTGCCTTTTCTTACATCACTTCACATCCCAGTACCTCCCTTCTGAGCACGGAGTCATATGGAGTTTTTTGTTTTATTAGAATTTTCTGGAAATTGAAGAAGACAACAGGCAGTTTAAGTTTTACCTGAGTCCTCAGCTGAGAAAAGACCGCACAACCCTGCCTGAAGCAGTGAAGGTGGCCGCTGCCAGCAGCTGAGCTTCCACAAAACACGGGCAGTGAAGTCTTTTACCATCTCCTTGTAGACTAGGCTCCCCAGATATTGTAAAATTTTCCCTCCGCTTCAGTACTCTGAAAGATTAAATCTCATCTAAAATTTCATAGAACCTTTTAGTTTTAGTATTTTACACCATCTCAAGAGTCTTTATGAATCAGTTCTGGAAAAATCAGAAGCCCTGGAAGAGCTTGGGCTGGCCCAGGAAGGCAGCTGAAACGCTGTTTTTTTATATGTGAGACTCCAATTGATACTCTTTTGAGCTGCAGTTTCCACTCCCACCTGTGTCGTTTTCCTTGATTTATCATCAAAAGACTGTTCCGGTTGGTCCATCCTGCCTGTTTTCCTTGCATTTAATTAATCATGTTATTATTTTTCTATTTATTTAAGCTACTGGGAGGCAAGAAGCACCTGTGGCTAGAGAAAATAACAAGCTTCTGTAATCCTCCTCACACAGTTTGGTGGTGCATCAGTTTCCTACAATCTCCCTTCACCTTTTATTTTAGCTCCGAAAAGCAACGGGCAATGCCATTTGGACCTTCTGAAGTCCATTATCACCACCAAGAAGCAGGACTATACGTGAGTACAAGGAAATAAAGCATCTTGAAACCCACTCTATTCTTCCACTTCACACAGGGCTTTTCTTAAGCGAGACTCCAATCACACAGGGTACTTTCAAAACAAAAGACAAGTGTCATTTCCCAAAGGACCTTAAGTTCTATTTCTAGAAATGATGCAACTTCACCGAGAAGGGCTCACCACTTCTTCCCCCTCCCTCTTTGAAGACCTCTGTGCCGCGGGTCCAGGAGGAGGATTTCTTTGAGAGCTGGGATGAAACTGGCCGAGGCCTGAGAGCGGTGTGAAAGAACTGAAGGCAGGGATGGTGTTAAGTGAGACATACATCAAGGCCAGCATCACAAAGGTGCTGAAAAGGAGGCAGGAAAATACACTGGACTTTATGAGCACGTATGGGATTTCACTACTATTGCAAAAGTTATATATGCTCCAAAAAAAGGCTGAAAACTCCTTCAGCTGCACCGCCATTGGTCTTACCACCAATTCCAGAGCAGGTTTCTACAAACCTCATATAAATAGCGCTTTTTTTCCTTCATAGCAACGGAGGAAACTCACATTACACAGGAGATTCAGTGGAGCTAATGATAAAGAGAGCGCTAAAGCCTGCAGAGTTAACTGGCCAGACAGCAGCCCTCGGGGTGAGCGGCAGGGGAGAAGCCACACTGGGGACTAACAAAGGACCCCGTCCTGCAGGGTCGGGGCTGCAGCAGAGGGGAGCAAAGGCAAAGCTTTTTGTCTCTCCGAGCTCCTCCTCTTCAATGCAGGGAGCTGAAGGGAAGTGAATGGGGAAGCATCCCAGTGAGAATTCCAGAGAAATTCCATCTCTAGGAAAAAGAAAAAAAAACAAAACAAAAATTCCACATGTTGTTTCCCAAAGTATTTCCATGCCTTGTTTCATTCTTCTCCGGCAGTTTTATAAGGAGGAAATCCAACATATTAGATCTTGCACAGCATTTGGGCTTAATTCTCCACACTTTTCTGAAGAGGGCAGGGAATATGGGCATTCAACATATCATTCCTTTCACACTGAAATTTTAAGACATTCAGATTTTTAAGACACTTTAGGACAGCTACAAGTGGAGTAGCCCAAGTGTGTGCTACTGCACATGAGCAAGCATAAGCCTACAGAGCAACTCCAGCCCCTTCAAAACCGCGTTATTTTGCAATTAGTTCAATGCAAGAATAGAAAGCAATTATTTGAAGGAGTAAGCAGGCAGGCAGGGCTGAAACTGCCTTCTCAGCCCTGACCCTGGGGCTCTCAGTGGCTTATTCAGGCCTTGCTCTTCATTGATTCTCATTTAGTACCGGGAACACAAAATGCATTTTGCCTGGGGCACTGCCTGTTCTGTGCCTTCCCTGATCACCATGCTATCTATCCCCCTGTTCCACAAGTCATGAAATAGCTTCCAAACCTTCTATTTTGCAATTTAGTAATTCCCCTCTTCATCAGGCCTTGGGTTTTTTTTGCTTTTTTGGTCATTTCTGGGGGGTTTTTTGTTGTTTGTTTTTTTTTTTTGTTTCTGGGGGGTTTTTTGTTGTTTGGTTTTTTTTTTCTTCTGACTAGAATAAACTAAGTTTTTCTTTGCCTTCCTCTTGGAACCCAGACTCCTTCTGACTAGAATAAGCTAAGTTTTTCTTTGCCTTCCTCTTGGAACCCAGACTCTGTACTCCAAAGACTTTGAGCAGCATGAAGTTCCATGCCAACATGTGGTTCCCAGTTCTGCTCTGCTTAATTATATGGACCAGACAGGTACAGTGCCCTTTTGTAAGACAGCAGAAGAATTTGACTTTGTACAACAGATTTGAATACATGCACATCCCCAAATTCCCCCCAAATGCAGGACTCTTGCCCACAATAAAGGACGAGCTTTCTTAAAACTGATGAGTCTTAGTTTCTCAAGCAGGTTTCCCCAAGATTTAAGTTCTTCTAGCCTGCAACAAGCCATTCCTCCCGACTGACCTGAGCAGACACCACCTCCTTTTCTCAGCACAAGGGGTGTGCTCTTACCAAAGAGAACTGCTGGCTTTATTTTTAGTGGAAATGATGGATGCAGTAATCACTAAAGTTAAAAAAAAAAAAAAAGGTAGTTTAGCAGTGGAGCATTGCAGCATTTGTCATACGAGGACAGCGAATTATTTAAGCTATCTTGAAAAATTAATTCTTAGTGAGCTTCTCTGAAAACCACCAGGTTTTTGAGGGGGGCTGGCTGCTTCTAGCTGCGAGTTCAGCAAAACAGCGCTGCTAATATCTTACTTAAAAAGTGTATAACTGAACGAGTTAACTATTGAGAGGAACAGGCAAAAAGCGAGGAGCGTGCAGGGACGGGAAGCAGAGCAGACTGGAGGGAAAGCTTCCAGGGGGCTTGTCCGAGAGCTCCAGAAACTCTGGAGAACGTCACCTTCTGCCACTCATCGACCTGCAAAGTGTGTAAAGAAACAAGAGAAAATGGTTATTACGAGGCAATGAAGTGAGCACGAAGAGTGTTGACTGGCCAGCACCGCGCCCAGGCAGCAATAAAACCCTCCAGAGAAGAAAATGCAGTAGATGGAGATGGGGCAGCCTCCTTCACCCCTTCCTTCATCCCTCCCTCTTTCTCCTCCTCCTCCTCCCCACCACCCCGGGCCCTGCGGGGGCAGCACACACCGGCCCCGGAGGCAGAGCCGCTCGGAGGGGACCTTGGCCCCGCCGGGCAGCACCGACCCTCCCGGGGCAGGCGCTGCGTGACCGGGCTCCGGGCGGCCCCGAGGCCGGGCTCGAACCAGCCACGGGCGAGAGCGGGGCCCGGCCCGGCCCGGCCCGCCCCAGCGGGGCCTTTGAAGCCGGCG